TAGCTGACTATAACATTATTATTTATTTGTACATGTACTTCTATATCTAATATTTAACATTTGCTGTACCTTGAAGATCATGGAAACTGCATCTTTCGAAAAAGGCTATTTTGCCGCGTTATTTTATCTGGATCTTACGTATATTAACCGCTGGCGATTATCTAGATCAATTACTTACAAGTTGGAAACATTTATGATAACATCGTCCAACAAAGTCTAATTGCATTTTTTTGGAATGGCCTAATTTTCCCCATCTACATTTGTAATTTGGCACCTTCAATATCTTGTTATCTATTACCACAAATGAAGATTTACCCCACAAACATGACATTACCATAACGAACAATGTCCACCTGAGATCTTATGAACTCTGGCTGCTCCTTTTATACTTGTCGTAAGGCCAACGATATTCTATTCTATTCTATTCTATTCTATTCTATTCTATTCTATTCTATTCTATTCTATTCTATTCTATTGTTAAGCCATTATTTTGTGGTTCCATTTACAAATATCTAGACTAATAACATCACTGTTTCTTTACTTCCTACACGTAGTAAGACAGAGAAATTAACATTTATAAGGTTCTTAGACCTTTGATTCATTCATCCAATGATAGACCCTATCCCACCCCAGGCCGCGAGTCTTCTCCTGGACAGCGCGTTGTTTGATGAGGAGGAGCACGTCCGCTATCACGCCGCTCTTCAGTACCAGAGACATCCCAAGGCACTCAACCTTCTGGAGATCAAACAGAACTTAGCAAACGGGTAATTCGTGTTTCACTGTCTTTCTAATGTCTTTCGGATTTACCTTCTTACTCATCTTCTTTTCACCTTGCGAGACATGGCCAGGATTTAAACTTTCCATCTGGGTCAATCCTTCTCTACTCGTCGCCAGGATAGTCCCATGGCCGGTCATTCTTCATGATTCTTCTCCAAGTGGTGTTGGATTTGCCTCTGCATGTTTCTTTTCCTAGACGGTCTTTAATTCAGGGCTGTTAAATGCATTCTTGTGTAGTGCATTCTCAATGGCCAAGACATTTCAGTCTTTCAACGTTGATTTCGGTAGATAGTCTTTTACAGCCTGTTCGAGGTGTCTTTAATTGAATTTTTTTTCGAACAAGAAGATGCGCAGATCTGTCACAGTCAGCTGTGGTTAAATGAATATGAATGAACTTTATTGCTCGACAATCGTACATGGTACAATGTTTGGCAGAAATACAGAAATACAATCTTATTACATTTCTTACTACAAACTACTATCTATACAGTATATGAGTTACAATATGTTCATGTATTGATGATATGGTCTGGATTATAAAATAAAGTGTACAGAAATTTGCCTACGTAATCAGATATGGTAGTTGGACATGACAATAATTCATGGAATGTACTGTACTGTGTACCAGATTGGGTAAACTTTGTCTTAGTAGTAATAGTCTGTAACAATGAATCTCTTTCTTTTCTATAGCTGGGAAAGAAAAGAGATTCATTGTTACAGACTAAATGCGTTGATCCTTCGCATGCGTTACCCTTTAATGTTTATTATATAATAGACCTGATTTGGCATCATTGCTGTAGTCCGAATTCTGCCTATACTGCTTGGACTTAAATGTAGTTTATAGACGACTAAAGGATCCTCGGGCTTTTGGTCAGGAAAAATGTAGCTCGTGTCATTGCCTTGGGATGATGCTAATTTCGCACAGAAATGATGTTTTTACATCTAGACAGTGGATAATATAATTCTGTCGTTTTAGGTCTATCAACATCGACCATTACCTTGATGATGTGATAGGAAAACTGGATGCCATGTCAGGGAATTCTCGGCATCGCAGAGGTTTTGAGAAAATATTTGATGTAAGCAGCATTTAATTGCATTTTTTGCATAAGTTTGCATATGGATGGTTGTCATTAAATGTTTTTGACGACAGCTACTTAGTAACACTGTACGAGTTCAATAGAATTGTATTGACAATGTAAACATAGTGCACAACGTAATTATAGTAAAGGCATGACGTCTATGCCAGATTTCATTGGTTGTTAACGTTAGACCGCAACGTCTGTTATGTAATAGTATGTTAACCTGACATGTAAATATAGTACACAATGTGATTATAGTAAACGCATGACGACTAGGCCGGATCTTATAGCGCGTTAACGTTAGACCGCAACATCTGCTATGTATTGATATGTTTATCTGAAGTGCAATCGACACTGTTAACTGTTACCTGTTCCGAATTGTTTATGTTCTTGTTGTGAGGGCTAGCCCTTTATAATAGCCTCCGGCTAGTTGAACAGTCCTGGCTGTATACATATGCATTAAACAGTCTAATAAATCAAATCAAATCATTTAACTGTAAATTAAGAGTACTTCATGGATATACCACGTGTAATGCTTCGGGCACATAGACACGTACGGAGTCAAGCCCCCAACTGGACTCGGGATGTCGGCTGACGTGGTTATAATAAGACCCTGTTTACATTCAGAAAAACTTCCCTAGCGCTAACCCTCAGTGCCTCTACCCTGTAGCTATATAGAGTGTGTTGACATCTAGGAAATGTCGTTCTATGCCGCTGATCAGCAATGTTAAAAAATTGCCCTGACGGACACTAGGAGGGAACTGTCGGTGTTATGTCGCGATTACCTTACGGTGTATTTTTTCTAACCTGGTCCCGACCGTAACCAAAAAGAGCCCGGAATCCGCAGGATAATGAAAAAAATGCATCCCGCAAGCTACCCGGCGGGGCTCTATTATTATATAGTTGTGTCATACGAATAAAGATCTTATTTTCTGAAAAATAAGTTTGTAAGTCATCTTTTCAGGGCATCAAGTTTAACCTGAAGTTGCCTGGAATAGACTGGCAGAAGAAAATCGGGTCAGACAACATCGGAGCAGAATTTGGTCTCGTTGTGAAAAACATTTTTGACTTTGACATAGGTGAGTCTATAATGATATATAACATAATAATCAATGAATGTTAGCGGTTATTCGATATAAGTATATTAGTACTGTAAATGGTTTTATACTCTTATTCTTCTCAAAATGTAATGGGTAGTGAACATTCCTAGTACCTGTAGGTATAAATTTGTCGTCCTGTGCTAACAAGCAGGGGAATGTATTTATTATATTTCAGTCCATACCATGGTATGGATGAAATATATTGTGTTCTCTCATGTTTCTTCTCCTCCTCCTTCTTCTTCTCCTCCTGCCACACAGTCAAATGGATTCAACTCCGCCATCATTCAGCCAAATGACTTGAAATTTGGCATGGAGGTAGAGTGGGCCAATACCCCCCTTTTTTTTCATTTTTTTGATACATGCCTTTGAAAAATTTTTATGAAGGTTTTTTGGGGCATTTTTGGCCAAGAAATGGATTTTTGGATCCTGAGCCCTGGTTTTACAAACAAATGATCTGAAATTCGGTATAAGGGTACCTTGAACATGTGTGTACAGAATAGCAGTCACATATTTGGCATACACCACTTCCAAATGACTCATTTGGGGGACTTTAATGGCTATTTTCAGCAAAAAAAGGGCCAAAAGTGCTATACCCGTTCCATGTTCTATCTAAAGAATACCCGTTCGATCTGCCGTTGGCCATGGAACACATGTTCCATTGCGGGTTACCTGGGGTCACATTGCAAGTAAGTCGTGCGTAATGACCCACACATTCAATTTTATGTGCCTAAGACCTTCAAAATGTATCAAATCTCATCATTGTTAGTATTTGCATACCTGTAATAAGATTAGTAAAGCTTTCGAGATTCAATGTGCTTGTTCTTGCATCTTTGTTCTCAATTACATAGCTAAAATTATATAATTCATTTATTTGAGAATCTTTGCCAGGTTTACACTGGGGTCAGTTTGGAATAGTCCACTTTTGCGTGGGAGGGTGATGGACTGAAATATGCTGTATTTGCATGTCGGCCTCTCTAGTTATGCTTATATTCTTAAACCTGTTTTAATTCATAAACCTGGCTTAAGCTCTAGCAATTTAAAATGAAGCTTTTAACCTCATTTTTGGCAATCGTTGTTGATGTTGGGTTAAATTATCAAGTTATTTTAGCATTTTTAGAATGTTACTACATGTTGTTATGTAAATAGCAAGCTGACGATAGGCGATGGTAAGATCGCATAGTTTTAATTCTATTCAGACGTTTGGCATCCCTTAACGGTGTGAATAGGGTTTAAAGAAATTTTGTGTGAATCGAGCCTTGAACAAATGCATTAGTACACTCTTGTTACAATTGGAGTGATGTGGGATAGGAGACGAACGGGTAGAAATCCACAACGGGTTCTACTTGGGAATTTTATCCTAAGTAGTTGATAGGAATCATGACAATATTTTGATTTTTTCAGGGCTAACAAAAGGGCATGTAAATGTTGACGTTGATGACCGGATATATGCAAGAGGCTTGCTCGGAATTATTAGGGTAACATATGATTTCATTGATGCTGGAATCTGCTTCAAGGGTGGCATCAAATATGAGATCAACATCCTGCAGGCAAGTATTATCATTTTGTGTTTTTAATAACTGAAATTAAAATTTACAGACAGAATCGGTGTAAGTTATTTTGGTTGTAATTATTTTGCAAATGTACATTATTTTGTACGATGCAATGGCATAGCAGTGGAATACAGTGGCAAGGCAGTATCTTTTTGTCCGAGGGGTGTTCATTCTGTGTCTGTATCGAAGATGGCTAATGGTCATTCCTTTGGCCAATTGATTCTGCCACCGTATAGTCTGCTTGTTATTTACAATGTTTCCTAAAAGAACAATTTTTTGCACTATTTCCAGAACAAGAGGAACGTACTAAACAATCTAGCTGCAGGAATATATTAACTAGTCGATGCGCATTTATAGTATCGTCAAGCTCCGAAGTAAGCGTGTAAAATGATACATATACTGGATCGGACCAGGGAATCAGATGTTTCTTGACTTGATATACATATATTAATATGATATAATTTATTAATCAAGGGTTAATCACCTGCCCCGATGTGGCTTTAGTCGGTGGTTACAGCAACTGACAAGGCTTTATCACACCATATTTACCGAGAAAGGGCGGGCCATTAACGCTATTATCATATAGCCTATCTAAACTGATACAGTAAAGAGTGACACATTCCTGTATAAAACATACAAACAGAGATAGAACATGTGTTCCATCTGGAGTCAGGTCATGTTCTATTTGGGTCATAGGCAGGGAACAGGTGATCTTATGGGAGTCACCCGAGGTCATTGGAACACTAAAGTTATTTTTTGGATTTTTTAGAACAGAATCATGTTCTATTTGGGTCACCTGAAATCATTTGCGTGTGATTATTGTTTAATGCATGGATTGGGATGAATAATGACCCGCTTTTGACTCGATTTCTGACATAACGGCGTCATAAGGAATGTGGATTGGAGCCTTCTGATTGGATAACGTCACACGGTTATATGATAATTAATAGGAGGATCAGGCGGCTTATTAACGTTATAACTTTATTATGACTGTGTTGTTAATTAACAGGATTTCTCTTTTGATCAAATACTGGAGCTGATCAACGTCTGGTTTCGGGACGTCCCAGCAGTAATCAAAGACATCAAGGACACAATAGACACATTTCAGCGTCTGTTCGATAATATGGCCGACACCACAGCGGAAAATTTCTTTCAAAGCATCATTGACACGATTATGAATTTTCCAGAGATTGTAGAGGGCATAGCAAGGTATTTCAGCACTTATTTCGAAAATTACGTCATACAACACATACATGATATTCACGACCTTATTCCTTCGCCGAATGATGTTGGCTTTTATCACTAATGTATCATATTGGTTTTGTTTTCTTTTGATTACGCTAAGGACGTCCAATTTGTAAATATTATATCAATTAGTCATTTTGTCTATCCATATAACAGAGGTTATCCGATGGCACTTTATTTTAACAGAAGGGCTATTCCAAAATTACCTCAATTATGCAAATTAAGCCATAATGTTTGGCTCACGCATTTCCAATTGCCACAGCAGTTAGTAGAACATTCATCAATTAGTTTTGAATGGCAGAAAACATATATCCAAATGTTCGACGTTTACTGTATACCTTGATAGAAGTGACCTGTCTCGCGAGAACACGAGACTAAGTTCAGTTTTGTGGCTGCTAAAATCAGTCACTGATTTAAGAATATTGTAATAACTTTTACTATATTCGTTGGTAATAAACGACTTTAATACAAACCACAAATTAATGAAATTTCTGCCATTCTTGAAGTACCGTGGATATCCGTCGTGGACCCTAAATATAAATATAGTCCATCTTCTTCAAACAGACAAGCAGTTGAAACGTTGGAAAAGGTTGCGGCTTACGACAACTTACCCAGTTTCATTGAAGAGGCGAAACAAGTCATCCTCAGAGTCAACGCTCTGTTTACTGAAGTCAAGAATGCCGCCAAAGATCTTTTCAATGTATGTTATTTTATTCCTATTTAGAAATGAATTGCATATTATTATGTAATAGACGAAAATGAGTTACGAGTTTTGAAAAATCATCTAATACTTAACCCTCAAACACCCGAACTTTTTTGTGTCGTTAATGCTTCCTTGAAGACATATTGAGGACATCCGAACAATTTCGTGTGTAGGAAAGTGCAAATGCATGGCTCGGGTCCGTTTGGACCCCAGACGGTCTTACATCAGACTTCACTTGTTATTTTAACAAATTTGTGCCGATCTCCAAAAAAAATAGGAGAACTTGTAGACGAGGTTTACTGACAAAGTCACGGGAGGAATTTTTTTAGAATAAAAAAAATCAAATAGCACATAAAAATATACGTCAAATGGACCCCGTTCGGGTGTTTGAGGGTTAATGTGAGCACAAAAATTCAAAATGATGTTGGAAAAACATCAACATTATTCTCGTAAAATAATTTATATGGGGTGTGAGTTTGCTTTCATTTACCAGAGTTCATTAGTGTGACCTTTGGAGAAGTAATTATGCTAATTGCATATGTAATTGTAGGGTATTGCTGACTCAGCCATCATCATACTGCCCAGGGCAGTCCAGGATATCTGGGATGGCGTGATGTCGATTGTGGAAGAAGTTCCTAAACTCATCAAGTCCCCACAGACAGCTATTGCGAACATCGCCAAAGCTGTTTACAAGTATGTAACACGATACCTATATGTACTCATCATCTCAAATGATGCCGATATCTAATCTTTTCTGGTTCTGAAGGACAGAATTTCAATAATTTAGCACATTTGCTATTTATCTTGGTATTATTTCTACACTTGAAATCTCAAACACTACTCAAACATGTGCTTTTTAACACTTGCTACGCTTAGGCCATGTTGATTTGATTATATGGATGACATCCGCGCGCGCATGAATTTTCGGCCGTTTCCAAAAAAAAAAAAGAAGTTTTCAACCATACTGTAAATCGTACAAAACAGTTACAAAATGAGCAAAAATATACCATAAGTTACAAAAAATTAATAAAAACTATACCAATGTCGTAGAATGCCAAAATCAAACGAAAAAAGACAAAATTGTAAAGAAATGAACTTCAAGACTAGATTATTCGCCAAACCATATTCTGTGCCATTTGCTCAACCCTCATGACCACGTAGATTTCATAATGAAAAGAACTTTTTTTTTGCAAAACTTTTTTTATTCGCACGCGCGCATCAGTTTTGGGGCTCCCGGAGGATGTCATCCATATAATCAAATCAACATGGCCTTACATTAAACACAAACACACCTGCGCAAAGAATGACAAAGATAAGAACGTACCTGTTTTGTGCATTTGTTGACAAGAGAGATACAATTCATTTTGAGATGTACAATTATTGAATACCACCAGCAATAAGACATAGTAACAAATAGTATTTCTCATTACAGCATCTATAAAGCGGTAATGACGCTGATTAACATGAAGGATCTATCCGACGAAGTATTCCTCTTCAAGGAAGGTTTGTGGAATATCACTACACTACTAGAATATGCAGAATATTGAAGTGTGAAGGATCTGCAGGTTTGCAGAATATGACGTTGTGACCAATGCTTTAAGGCCAAGAGAAAGATAATATGCTAAATGTGCCAATTTGTGTAAAACTTTTCCTTAATCGGTTTGTGAGAAAATGGCTAGCATCAACGAGTACAATCCTTATAATGCCCCCAGAAGGTTCGAACTATTTGTTACCAGTATGTGTTTGTGTTCATATGAACACAATGATTGACTTGGGCAAAATTCACAACCCCTACTCGACTAGATTGACAGATAAGTGCCTGCTTTGAGTCTCTGTGAATTTGCTTTAAAGGAAACATGCTTAAGGCCTCGGTCACAACTCGCTGTGCGTGTTTTTGTCCGTACGTTTTTGTGGAAGGCCACGTCCGCTACGTTTTTCTGAAAACGTGGGGAAGGACTGGCATGATCAGTACATGAACGCACGACACTCACAGGTTGCGCAAGGTGTAAGAGTGTGGTCTGCACGCCAAGTCTGGTCATGAGCGGTTGCGTGCATCGTTCGTTGGGCAAGTGGTAAGTGAGTTGTACGTGCTTACAACGCATGATCTCTGTTCGATTGCCACTTAACCGTATGCAGGCCGTACGAATCCGCGCTGCTTACGCCAGGTACGTACACAGCACGCGTGTCGCCGTACTCGCACTTAAAGTTCTACGGCGTGTCTGCATGCTCCCGAATCCGTTGTACTCCGTACGGTGGAGGTGCTCACCACTTACCGTTCCCCAAAATCTACCCATGTTTCTGCACGTAGATAGCAGGCCATTGCACGTACGGCGGGTTGTGACCAAGGCTTTTCGGGAAATATCTATAAGTTGTGTTAGACGTTTCTATTTAAACGTTTCGTAGATTTAATAGCTCACGTTCAATAAGATAAGGTGACTTCGAGGTGAATGGCCCCAGTCTTTTAAGGCCGTAGGGGCAGTTTTACTCCAACGTAAGACGGAGCCTATACCTTTAGGGCTTTCACAGTCTATTACCTGCCAAACCTGCAATAGAAATCAATAAAATATTACCTTTTATGATATTTTGTAATGATCTCAGAAGGAAAGAAATACAAATGGCAGGTTATAAGTTCAGTAATGATATGGTGCGAGATTATACTGCTATGTGTTTCTTTCTGCCTTTAAATACAAAAAAGTGCATCACAATTTGGGTTTGTTTTGCAGGGAAACAATCTTTCCTGTTCGAGGTCGGCACAGAAATACAAGGGTTGTTAAACGACTTCATGCATGTGTGGGAGCTGTTTAAGAGGGAGGCTCCGGAATGGATAGAAGGGTTGGGACAGCATACCGAGAGGGTGTTTGGCGACATGGTATGTACAATGTATCATAACGTAGTCTACATGGTAATGTGAAACAAAAGATGTAAAAAAAAAACACAGCCACTGACTACCCCCAATATACAAGCACGTCGGCAGAACGTACTGCACCTGCGCAAAACCCGTAATGTATTGTGCATAACACTTCAGCAGAACGTCTCATATAAGGTCCTATTCGCGCATCACGTCTGTAGTTTCTAAATGTTATGTCAGAAAAGATATTGTCTGCAAAAGGAAAATTCTGATGCAACGTTTACCAAATTCAACAAACATCGTGAAAAATTTTGCGCAGGGGCAGTACGTTCTGCCGACGTGCTTTATACACAACACACTCTTCCAGTCTCCTGACCTGTGCTGATCTCTTAACCCCTGGGTCACGTGACTGCCCTTGTCAGTAGCTGAAGAAAGATGGTGGATGCCATCTGAAAGCTTTTACGCTTTACAGAATTGTATTTGTGCGTACCAATTTAATTCTTCCTTGTAACCTGAAAAAAAAAACATGTTTGCTCTTACTGTTGTCTCCAGAAATCTGCTAAGAATGAAGTAGTCAGCGAGATTAATAAAGCATTGGGACAACTTAAGTCCCCAATTGAAGAGATCCGTAAGATCGCCGGTCCTGTTCTGGAGGCCTACAATGCGACAATGAGCACCATCAAGTCTGTAAAGAAGTGTTTCAAGTCATTGGAGGAAGGGTATGTTCGTAATTTAACTATTGTTTACCATTAATTTGTTTAAGTGCACTTGTTTGATGTCGACAGAAATTACCACTGCTCAGTCAAATTCTCAGGAAAGGGACTTATTTTTAATATCAGAGCATGAAATATAACTTTATATGTGGATCGAATCCATATTGATTCTTGTTTCCAAAACAGCTCTAATCAATGAAAATACCGGGAAATTGGAAAAGATATTTGAAATCTTAACATTGTTGTTTGTTTGTTGTTATTTCTAAATTATTGTGTGCATGATTTTATACAAAGCAACACATTCAAGTGATCATGCCGCATTCTAGACATTATTGTTTTTGCTGTGTGTTTGTTTTGTTTAATTGCCACGAACACTCGGGTGAGATTTTGCGACAATTATCTGCTTTGTATTTGTCAACTTAGCCAATATCGTCGCCCATCACAGAACAGTATATGACAGTATTTTGTTAATGTTGTCGTAGGTTCGAAACTGCACGAGAACTCATACATAAAATCTTTGGACCAAAAGCGTCTTCAGACTTCCCGAAAAAGAAACTAGATCCTGAAGTATGTGGAGGTGGCCTGTACCCCAGTGTCGGAGTCGGCTCAAAGAAGTACGAACACCAGGGCATCGACTTAATACTACCTGCAGGCGAGGAGGTAAGATGAATTATTCTAGATTATGGATCGATAATTTTATTATATGATCAGGTTTTATTAGTCTATATGCATTTATAATGAAAGCCTAATCCGAGTAAATATCATATAAGCATATATCATATACATGCACTGTTTGAAATACTTCTGACATCCGGTTACTTAAGCCCCTGCTACACATTTACGACCTTCTCCCGATTTGAGATCGCGAACACCAGCTAATACCAGCCGAAAAGTTCGGCCGGTGTTCGAGAGCAATCGCACCAAATTATGCCATGCCAATGTTTTGCGCCGACCATGACCTAGCAATTTCAGAACCATTTTTCTAACTATCCCCGAACCAGCCCAAATGCTGCCCAAACTCGTCCAGCCATTCCTACCTTTAAGCGAAGATTGCGGAATCCCTCCTAACTATATTTTCTTCCGAATAAAAAAAATCAGAATGAGGGTTCCATTGCACTACATGTAATCATGTCAGACATTAAAAGTTTGAGGCATTTTTTAAATGTTTTTTTTTTGGTAGTTGCCTTTTTTTGGGCCAAGGTGTCGACACTCTTTGTCAATACTGTCATGCAAGGAATTATTAATACGCCAAAAAGCAGTTACTCAATTATTAATAGTATGAATTTATATGGCTGAGTCAGAATCTTGGATGCGTAGGTTTCAGAGCATTTCTTGTTGAGTCGGAAGTGTTTCTCTGAAATTCGATGTTCCTTACTAATGCTCATTTATCTACAGCACCTGATTCCTTACCAATGCTCATTAATCTACAGCACCTGGTTCCTTACTAATGCTCATTTATCTACAGCACCTGGTTCCTTACTAATGCTCATTTATCTACAGCACCTGGCTCCTTACTTATGCTCATTTATCTACAAAACCTGGTTCAGTTACTAATGCTTATTTATCTACAGCACCTGGTTCAGTTACTAATGCTCATTTATCTACAGAACCTGGTTCAGTCACTAATGCTCATTTATCTACAGCACCTGGTTCCTTACTAATGCTCATTTATCTACAGCACCTGGGTCCTTACTAATGCTCATTTATCTACAGCACCTGGTTCCTTACTAATGCTCATTTATCTAAAGCACCTGGGTCCTTACTAATGCTCATTTATCTACAGCACCTGGTTCCTTTCTGATGCTCATTTATCTACAGCACCTGGTTCTTTACTAATGCTTATTTATCTACAGCACCTGGTTCCTTACTAATGCTTATTTATCTACAGCACCTGGTTCCTTGCTAATGCTCATTTATGTACAGCACCTGGTTCCTTACTAATGCTCATTTATCTTCAGCACCTGGTCCCTTAATGATGCTTATTTATAATCTACAGCACCTGATTCCTTACTAATGCTTATTTATCTACAACACCTGGCTCCTTACTTATGCTCATTTATCTACAGAACCTGGTTCAGTTACTAATGCTCATTTTTCTACAGCACCTGGTTCAGTCACTAATGCTCATTTATCTACAGAGCCTGGTTCAGTCACTAATGCTCATTTATCTACAGCACCTGGTTCAGTTACTAATGCTCATTTTTCTACAGAACCTGGTTCAGTCACTTATGCTCATCTATCTACAGCACCTGGTTCAGTTACTAAATGCTCATTTATCTACAGAACCTGGTTCAGTTACTAATGCTCATTTTTCTACAGCACCTGGTTCATTACTAATGCTTTACTAATGCTCATTTATAACAGCCGTTTGGTAAAATGTTTACCACTGTGCATCCAGGTTGTTGCTCCTTTTGCGGGAGACATTACATCCATCACAGCACGGAGCATCGCTATTGCAACAGACGAAATAAAAGGCATGGAAGCAATAGTGGAAGGTATCAACCCCGCGGATTCCATCAAGCCTGGCCAAAGGGTACTTCAAAAATATCATTCCTCAAAATAATATAGGTTTTGTAAATTTATTTTGCCAAACTTAGCCGAAATTACCCCGACTCTTCCATAAACCCCAAACTACATTCAAGCATCTTATATTTGCTCTCAATTAACACTTTCCGACATAAGTTATTTTGAAATGACTGAGCTTTGCATTGGGGTATATTTGAAACAGTCAATTGTTACAAAAAGATTGATAGAGTAAAATTTGATGCATTATTGAAAAAAGTATGAATTATATATGATATAAAATAATACACATCAATACATACATAATATGAAATATTATTCATACTCTTTTATTACAAAATCAAAATTGTAATACTATTCATACGTTTCGTTACAAAGGTCTAAATGTATTTTGCCTTCTTTAATTAGATAGAAAAAGGAGACGCGATCGGTATAGCAGGATCCACGGGATGTCAACAAAACAATACGATTCACTTCGCAATGAGGGAAAATGGAACAAGCGAATATGTGGATCCCACAAAATACGTGCCTTCTCCAAGTATGATGAAAGAAGGCGAGAAACCTGAATGGATTCAAGAATGTGACGACTACTGGCTAACGCTTATGGTGAGACATTTTTGTGACAGATCTTAGATTACTAGAAAGGCCGACATTTGCTTTGGAGCAAATGCAGCATGGCTTCACCACATTTTACGACATTGGAAAACAATGCTTTACTTTAATATAACTATAGTATGAAGTGACATATAACTAAGTATACAACAGGAGGATAGCTATCCCCTACATTATTGGTTAGGATTTTTAGTTGCATAATGCATACAGTTGATGTTGATACTGAAGATAAAAAAGCGTGTATGTACCTACCAAAACACTTGAATGCAGTACATACATATGGTATGGGTTGGTGCAGCTGTTCATGGAGTTAGCCCAATTAAATCTCAACAGCCAATCTGCAAGAATAATAGAGGGACGCTGCATGGCTATTGGCAGAAGGAGGAGCAGGAGGATAATGAGAACGCAATGAAAATAATAATGAGAAGCCATAAAAATTTTAATATCCACGAGAAACGTATTTGTTTATGAGTTTATGTGTCCCCTATCCCCGATTAAAAGATTAACATTAAAATTGAAAATTCAACACAGATGAACCTTAGTAAAAGGTATTCCTATTATATGAAAATGTTTACGTTTATCAATAACAATATAAATGATAAACTGATACCTCTTCGTAGCGGCATGTAGAAGTACACTTTCAGAAAAAACACTTTTTCTTGTTCTAAACAATAGGACAAATCTATTGGAAGTGGAAAACTGACCGGAGGGCAACAGGAGACAGACGAAACTCCCGAAGCACCCGAGGCCGGTTTATCCAAGATATCAAGGTGACACGAAGCAACATCAAGTGATACGTCCAAATCAATGTGTTGATAATGTAGTGAAAGTATAGATTTTGATTTAAATTTGTTCTGTATCCAAACTGTTTAACATGTGTGAAAAGTATGTTGCTAATAGCGTTTAAATTTCAATGATTTATCATTGACCACAGAGGCAGACCACCAATAACTTTAGGAATGTCCAGTCGACATGTCAGAAGAGATATCGTTCAATCTCTGAGTGGCAGAACAGGTATTACTTTACAGATCACTGACACTGACACAGTGCCTACCTTATACTGATAAAGACTTATATTAATACGCCTGACGACAGTTTTTGTCTCATTATTTGCCACACGGGGCTAGGTACAGATCGCAACAAAACATGAAAAAATATGTTTACAGTTAAAACTTTTGATCCAACACAAAAGTTCTCTCACCTAGAGCTTTCGACCAGCCACTCTGGTCTTCCTTAGTACACTGACCCAGTGAGGCTTGTCACGTGGCTTCTTTGAACTATGAGGTCAACACTGGGTCAAAGGTATATGGTAGACGATGTCGGCCCCCGTCGTGGTTCAATGAAGTGTGATGGGCCCTGATGTAAATACCCTCCTTCACTCATCTCGGGAAATATTCTTGTTCAGTGTCCTTACAGTGTCTTTACAGTGTCAAGTGTTCAGGTGACTCTATGTGGATGTGTTGTGACACGTCTTGAACTGGCTGAGCTTGGATATGTTCTTGAAACCTGGCCTTCAGAGATCTTTCTGTTTCTCCGATGTATGTTTCCTGACAGGGCCCTTTGTTGTTTTTGCCCTGGCATGGGATGTGGTAAATGTCTTCTCCTGTGGAGGGGGGGTGTTTGGATGCAACGAGAATGTGTCTTGAAGTCGTGGTCTGTTTGAAGACGGTTAAATCCCGTGGGAGATGAAACCCTTGATGTATGTAAGGACGACCAAACCCTTGGACTTTAGTGTTGGGTGATCTGGAACAAGTTTTGTTGATGGCCCATTGGGAGTAGCCACAGGCTTTTAGTCTTAGACTACCAGATGCCTTTGACCCAGTGTTGACGTCACACTATAAAAGAAACACATGCCAAGCCTCACTGGGTCAGTCTACTGAGAAAGACCAGGTGAGAGAATTTTTCGTGCTAGGGCCAACGTTTTAACTCTAAAAAAGTCATGTAACTACCAACACAGATGAATTTTCATTAAAATATAGAAAAAAGTTCCCATATACAAAATGAAATTGTTAGATTAGATAAACTCAACTTCTTCTCTCTTTTTAGTCATAGTAGAGAAAAAAGATCACGAATGTTTTTCGATACAAAAATTTTAAATTTTCTAGTTGTATTAGGAGTGTTTCTACAATACTTAACTGGTGGCATTCGCTTTCTTTCTATTCAAATTACAATGAATGTAAATGTATAGCTATAAAGCATCATATAGAGATGCTTTTTTTCGGCAAATATTCAAAGAAACTTCGTAGTTAGCTCATTTTTCCATTCTTAATAGAAAAAGAAGTAAATAGTTATCAAATGATATCATTCTGTAGATCTTCTGGGCCTGCTTGGCATTGGCGACTCAGCGGACGTTACAAAGAATCTCTCTCTAAATCTACAAGACATAAAAGTGTCAACAATTGTACATATTCTGGATATTATTGGATGTGGAGACGGCCTACGAAGTATACTCAACATCTTAGAGGTAAGGCCATTATTTCTTTCATCTATTGTTGTGCTACAGAACTGTTCATTTTGTTTGGGAGTTGCAGGTATGTTACAAGAACAGGTCCAAAAAAATAATCTAAAATGCACTGTCTTCTAAATGTTGTAAAATGCTGATGAATTTCAAGGCAGATAACTAAGTTTATTTTCTGTCAGTGAATTAGAAACAAGTCTTTGAAAACATTTACAAGTCTATAGTGGGGCAGATAACTGAAATAACCTTTCAAATTGTGATACAAGCACCAAACTTGGTACAAATACTTATGAGACATTACTCCTTTGAAAAAGTACGCGGGCCACTTGATTTGTCTTTTGGCGCCCCCTAGCGGCGCTTTTTTGGTACTGCAACCGACCTTCTGGGCTTTGTATCTCCTATTCTAAACATGCTACAGTCATGATTTTTATGTGGTAGTAAGCTGTTAAAGTAAGAAAGAAGTGACGTAACTTTGGTGTCTCTAGCAGCTTGCGTTGAAACTTCAGGAGCGTTTGCCGGTGCAAAAAATTGCTCCAAGGGCGCTTTTTGGTACTGCAGCCGACCTTCCGAAGCAAAAAAGCGCCCTTGAAGCAAATTGTGCACCGGCAAAAAACGCATCTGCAGTTTTAACGCAAGCAGCTAGAGACACCAAATTTGCGCCAATTCTTTCTTATTTTTCACAGCTTTCTACCACTTAAAAATCATGACTGTAGCATGTTTAGAACAGGAGATACAAAGCCCAGAAGGTCGGCTGCAGTACCAAAAAGCGCCAAAAGTCAAATCAAGTGGCCCGCGTACTTTTTTCAAAATAGTAATGTCTCATGAGTATTTGTACCAGGTTTGGTGCTTGTATCACAATTTGAAAGATTCCTCCAAAATTTGATGTTATCTGCTCCACTACTACAACCAGCTTATACAGAACACTATTGATCACTTAGCCAGGTGGAACTACCATGTACCCTTAGTTCCTTAGTTAGTTAGAAGTAACTTTGAGTGTTATTTACTCCAGCAATGCCTGGATGCCTGTAAGTTACCAAAGAGCATGACGGACGAACAATTGCGGTTTGAGCTGAAAAAGTTAGGAAGGGAGACAACCGGGCCCCGTGATGCTCTTCTTCGGAGATATTCAGCCTCTGACACAGGTGACATGTGAAATTATCACCTTATTAATTATGCAGCATTTTTTTTTACTTAATAATAGCCATCTGAAACGTTTTTGAACTGAACTCCGCAGGCAGATGTTTCCGCTTAATGTTCTTTAATTAATGTCTTTTTTAGTCACTGGTGCCAAATCTTTAACGTATTAGTAGGAGAAAGATCTGTTTTATGCGTAAACATGAAAAATGTATCTCTTCGATGATGGTTATGTAAATTCAGACCTTGTTTGAATAATCCGTGAGAAAATTATTTAACTCCATTGTGATAAATGGCATTGATTTTGGACCTGTGCCATTTGGAAGTTACATAAACAGTGATGTCAACTCCTGGGAAGAAATCGCCCATGACCCAGTGTACACTGAGCACTAGGACTTTCGAGGTCAACAGAGCAGCTGCCATAAAGGAGAAGAAAGAGAGGAGGAAGCAATGCTCCATCCCTGTCCAGTCCTTCACTTGCAGCATCTGCTGCCGCTCATGTGCGTTCAAAATTGGTCTTTATTCTCACATGAGGCCCCAACTCGGCAAATGATAACCTGTACGCCTACTCATCTGTCGCAGTGACAGGAGATTCCAACAACAAATGTTAACATCGCTAAACGTAAATTATGCAAATCCGGACTTTATTTATATATCTTCATTTTTTGTGTATACATGTAGGATGCCCTGACATTTCTGAGAAGCTCAACAAGCTCGATTCCATACACTGCCGTATGCAAGATAATTGTCTCGGTCTCAGCTGCTGCCTGTCCATCTCCGTACCGCCGTTCAACCTCTTCAGCGTCAGGGCTTCTGTGAGCCTGGATCCCTGCACCATGATTCTGACGATGGAACTTGGACCGATGAAGGAGACAAAAAACCTGTCCCCGCATGGATTTGGTATGTTCGTGTGCGTACAATCAGCATGCATCTCATGAAAACACAGCAAAGTTTGATAAACTTTAGACTATTAGCAACTACACTTACAGTACGGATCTCTTAAAACATCATCTCATTCGCTCAAGTTAGAAAATCTTGTGCAACACTTGAAGTAAGGTGTGTTTTGCTTGTTATATCATGGAAAAAATACAATCACATTTATATCATTATACGAATAAGGTGTTTGAGGATGTGACTGCAACCTTCTTTATATAATTATCAGCTGAAGAGGATGACTACAGTTTTGACAAGTCGTGGACCCTTTTGGATTCAGTGAAACTTCAGAGAAGTTTCAGAATCAAGAGAAGGAGTTCATTTGTGGAGGTAAAATCTACTTTTCATTAACCTGTTGAAGAAATACGATTAGTTGATTCATGATTTCAAAACTTAAGTGAGGTAGTGTGTTATTCTAGCTGTTTATGCATTGCAAAATAAAATGCTGTGTTAGTGTTGTTAATAAAGGACCATTGAAACTGGCAATGTGCAGTATTGTACATTATAAGTAGACACTTAAGGCATCCATTTGCTCGAGAGCAAATACGATATTTCATTCCATGTCTCTCCTCGTTCCAAAATGTACTGTTCCAGGTCAATATTTTTCATGCGGTGATCTTCAATATATACGTGTTTCAATACTCCAATGTGGTCCCAAATTACCCATACAATGCTTTTCAGTAGAATGTTCTTGAAACTTGCATACAGTAACGCAAGTATTTGTAAAGTTCCCATTTAGTGCTTTTTTGTATTAGGTGTTTTCAAAATCCCCATGTAGCCAACATACTTGTAGACTGCAAATTGCCGGTCATTTGGCCCAAAAAGATTAATCCATGTGCTTGACGTATGTATTAAAAGCACATAATGTTAAACTAATTTATCAACAGCCAATGCAATTAGCAAGAATGACACAGTTTGTAACCAAGCATATGGCTGCATGCCTATTGTATCTTGCTCTTAATTCCATTCTGCTAAGTCACACCCCACAATACCGTACATTTGGACATGAAAACGGGCAAAAAATCCTCATATTCAGCAATTGCCAAGACCATAATGAATTTTATATCACGTCGCCAGCACCCCAAACGTACAGATATTATTTGGAAATGGTAAAAAAAAAACAATTGTTATACTAAAGCCAGTATAAAAGTTGAAAAATGCCCCGGGGATATTCGTCCACTCTCCTTTCATAATAAATTACCAGTCATTTGCCACAAAAATGAAGAAATTTAATCCATTCAAAAGAACTGGCAGGGGTAGGAAGACAAGAAACATGAGGAAAATTCCGTGTCTGGGCTGAAATAAAAATTCAGTGATGTACTGTTGTATGCAACAGAGCTTTACTAACACATTTTTTCAATATTGCTCCCGCAGATATACCTTTCTGTTAAGGTTTGCGCCGAGGACCTTTGTCTGCCACCACTGGAAATCTTGAAGGGTGTTCAAATCGATATCCCTTCTTGCTCGAGTGGAGGCCTCACCCAATCTTCTAATGGAGGTCGAGGTAACACATGAGACTCTTGTCGAAACAATTGTAACTGACACATAGGATTTCAAAATATGCTTTGATATATAATTTTGATATATAATTTTACTCTTGCACAAAGCAATAGGCAGTACATGCATTCCGATGTCAATTCTTATTACACCTAAGTTGGGAACGTCATAGGTTTTAACCAAAATTAGTAAAAAAAAAAAACATGATGTTGCAAAAACCAAGCATAACTTATAAGAGATAATAAGAAGTAAACTAGTTAAGCCGAGGTAAACAAAGTTTGTCCAACAGACCTTTCTGTGGCAAATCTAAAAAAGCGGGTGATAAAATCAATTGAAATGGTGACAGTTTTTCAGTATCTTTATTATTAATTGACTTTTATCAGTTAATGGATTTGTTGCATAATGTTGCAAGTGCAATCGTTCGAAAGTTAAGAAGTAGTTTGTTATTAGGCCACAACAAGTAGTTTAAGAGCAAATAATTTTCCACCTGATTTTGGAGAAAAAAAGTTGACCTCTGACAGTGGCCAACATGCCGAAAATTAATGATCTCTGTTGCCATGTCGGATGATGGATTTTAGATAAATGTGGAGAGAGGGGAGACACAACGAGGCTCAAATCCAAAGTTTTGCCTTTTACTTTACTTCAGAGAAGACTATTATTACCTCCATGAAAAATGGAGGTATCGTTTTTGGCGCATGTGTGTTCGTGTGTCTGTGTTTCCGCACAATTAGTTCGGAACGCCTTTATGGATTGTGATGATATTTGGTCCATTGGTAGGTCTTAGGAAGACAAAGGTTAAGATCAAAGATGGGCAAATATGGGCCTCCTGGTGGCCGACCTTGGTACTGCAGCATAACTTCCGGTTTTTGTATCTTTTGTCCTGAACATTCTATGGTCTTGATTTTTAGTGACGGATAGCTTATCCTGTAAGAAATAAGCGGTGTAAGTTTGGTCCCCTATTAGCTTCTTCTGGAACTGCAGGGGACCTTCGAGTGAAATTTTTAAAGCCAATAAGTCCAGATAGGAACAACGTACTTTCATCACTTTTGGTGTGTAGGTAGCTGAGGGAAAGTTGCACATAATT